CAACAAAATAAATGTCAACAAAAACAGAAAACTGAGGCATAGAGCAGATAGTATGGTGACTGAACTTTATGAATCCAAATTCAGAACACATGGTTTGATATGTATTATTACTATTATAGAGATTCGCTGAAAGTACATTTTTTTCTTCTATAAGCAGTGTAGTGCAGCGAAAAGCATGTACTGAACCTTTCATCAAAAGACCTGGCTTTGAATCTTCCTTCCCCCTGCCCCTTAACTAGCTATGTGACCTTTCAGCTCAATAGTCCTCAATTTCTTCATTTTAAAGGAGCTGGGCTAGATTATCTCTAAGATCCTTTCTAGCTCTAATATTCTGTGCCTCTGAAAATCAAGACAGTCCTGGAAAATCTGGACTGTATGGCAATTATATGTTATGAAGTAGTATATAGGAAGATATGCAGGTTCAGCTATAATTTCATTTGCTCTACTCCATAGCTTACTGTTCTGCTAATATGTCCTGCCTGGATGTATATTTTTGTCCATGAGGAACCAAACTGCCTCTTCTTGGATAAGGACTTAGAACCTAATTCATTATTTTCTCTCCCTCATAATGTAATGCACAAAACAGGTTCAAAATAAATATTTCTTAATAATTAAGGTGATAAGATTGACAGATTACTTAGAATAGCCATCAGAGGTTTAGATAGGAATGTACTATTTATTCATTTAACTTGATCAACTACATCCTCATTCTTTAAGTAATCCTTTCTGATGACGGGGTGCACTATATCTTATGTTCATATCTTGCTGTTAAGTAAAATAGATGGAAAAAGAGAGGTTCCTCAATATAGCATCATCAGTGCACAGTGTTACTGCATTGCTATGCTAGTTGTGATAACCAAGCACCAAGAAATGGATTTAGTGTCATATAATCAAGGCGAATTACAATGATGGAAGTAAATGAGTCAAAATAGGAATTACTTAATGTCAATTGCAAAAAAAAAAAAAAAAAAAAAGTCAATTGCATTAATGGTACAGATGTGGGCAAATATAAGTGGTATGGGATTTGTGTGTGAAACTACAAATAAAAGCATTACCTTTTATTAAACAAGTTGGTTAATGTATTAAAGCTGACCAATAACTATATTTTACATACATATGTATAAATATATGTATATACATGTGTGCTTCTTAAAATAATCTATACAGTATTCATTTCATATATAAAATGTGAAAAAACTTTACTGTTCAATAGTTTGTCTTATAATAACATCAAGACTATTCATGTGAAAAGACTATTTCTAAAATATTTTGAGAAATTATCGGTCCTCTCTCACAAGGTTTTATGGGATTCTAAGCATACAGAAATAACCAAATGGGACATTATTATTTTGCAGAGTCCTAACCATTAACCTTGTGGTGGTTTTTAGTATGATAATGATTTTGTACCATATGGTAGCATCTATTTGGAAGCATGCTATAGTAGCCTAGCATTTAGATAGATCTATCTATCTATCTATCTATCTATCTATCTATCTATCTATCTATCTATCTATCT